AAACGACAACTAAACGCCAAAATATATCTCATACGTACCTTACTCGCAACGCACAATACTGACCAATGGGACATCTTTCTTAACTCACTAGACCACCAAGACGGTTCAATATACAAACTCAACAAATGTCTCTTACACAAACGTCCAGCATCTCACCCACTAACCGGCCCCGACGGCCTAGTTTTTCCGGCCAACGAACGAGCAGAGCTGATAGCCGACTCGCTCGAACGTCAATTTCAAACAAACCCCGGCCCCGACTTACCAGACGTAACCGCTCACTCCCAGTACCTACAAGGCCTTGACATCACCCGATCTAACCTCTTTACCACTCCCGGCCAGATACAAGACATAATTCGCAACCTTCGCAAAAAGAAAGCCCCTGGTGACGACCTCATCACCAACACGGCTCTTAAATTCCTACCGAACAACGTTATACTGTCCCTTACTCGGATCATCAACAGCGCCTTCAGAATCTGCTACTTTCCCCTTGCCTGGAAAAAAGCAGTCATCATCTCCATTCCCAAACCAGGCAAAGACCATAAACAACCCGAAAACTATAGACCAATCGCCCTCCTCTCCTCCCTGTCCAAAATTTACGAACGACTCATCCTCACCCACCTACAAGACAAACTCAAAAACAAAATCCGTCCCGAACAGTTCGCCTTCAGACCCGAACACTCGACCACACTACAACTGACCAAACTCACCCACCAACTGAGCGAAAACTTTAACAACGACTTAAACACTGCTTCCGTCTTCCTCGACGTGGAGAAAGCATTCGACCGCGTCTGGTACGAAGGCCTACTCTACAAACTCTCCAAACTCAACATCTCGTTAGAAATCGTAAAAATCATCCAATCCTTTCTCACCGACCGTACTTTTACCACTAAAATTGAACACTCCTTCTCTACTACCAGACACGTACTCGCAGGAGTCCCTCAGGGCTCCTGTCTCTCACCGACGCTATACTTGACGTACATTAACGACATTCCAACGACTCCTAAAGCCAACCTCTCACTCTTCGCTGACGACACGATGTTCTTTACTAGTAATAAAAACCCCAAACGTGCAACCATACAACTACAACACCAACTCAACCTCGCGTCCAACTGGTTCCACAGGTGGCGAATCAAAATAAACCCGACCAAAACAGTAGGCGTCCTCTTCGGGCGTTCTAATACAACCCACATTCCACCTCTAACCATCGATAACCAACCCGTTAACTGGTCAAAACAGGCCAAATACTTAGGCTTCACGATTGGACGTAAACTTACATTCAACCAACACATTCAAGACGTAACCAAAAAAGCTACCCGCGTCCGTGGTATGCTTTACCCCTTACTTAACCGTACTAGTCCCGTTCCGCTGAAAACAAAACTTAACATACTTAAACTCTACGTGACCCCTATACTTACATATGCTGGCTCTTCCTGGGCACCCTTTATCGGCCCCTCCCATTGGAGACGTATTGAATCCGTCCAAAACATCGGCATACGCACGATAACCGGTATGCCCACTATCGTTAGAAACTCGGTCCTTTTAAAATCAGCCAACTTCAAATCTATCCAAAATTCCATTTGCTCTCAATCAAAAGCGATGTTCTACAATAACTCTTTTTCCGAATACGATCATATCCGCCTCTTAGGTAAAACCCACTCCCCTCCAACCACCAAACGTTTACTCAAACCATACCCATTAAATTGGACTGACTTACATAACTGAACCTACCAATCAACCCCAAAATCCATCCACTAGTAGAGGCACAAGCCTGGAATAGTAAACGGCATAGCCACCCCTCCCAAAGCAAAGCAAAGCAAAGCCATTGATATTATTACCATTATTTCTATTGATGCACGCCGCCCTGCAGCATTTAGATGTATTATTTGCAAAAACTAATCCTAATATTGTTACAAAGTCACAGCTCGCTACACGACTTTGTAAGTTAGTATAATATTTATATAGGTTAATGTATGTAAGTGATGTAGTGAATTTTTGATGAGGTGTTGTTCTGATTTGTGTCTCGATATGTAGTTGCTATTTTTATTCTCCCCTCTTGTAATTTTCAGCAGTGGTATTCTGTTGCTTGGATGATTGAGTAAATACCATATTTTGTTCATTTGCAATTGTTGGTTTTGTAATATTTGTATGAACGGGGTACTTAGTTTTGTCATGTGTTTATGGATCATTTTCCCTTTGTATGACGTTTTAGCACTAATATTTTGTTGATTTGAGTGAGAGTTAGGGTGGTGTGCTTTATAATAGGAACGTCGTCTGCGTCTTTTTTTGCTTTTACTTACGTAGTGCACGTTTCTTGTTTTGTGATTTGAGGAGTTGGTTGGGTGTGGTATCGTCGTGGCTTGTCTGGTCGGTTCATCTGTTGTAGCGGTGGTTGTAGGTGGACCTTGTGTTTTATCCGTTGTTGTGGGTGTGGTTATGAGTGTTTGTTTGGTGATTGCTGGTATATTGTTTGTGTTTGATGATTTTGGTGGGTTTTGATTGATAAATTGGCTGGATGGAGAGTGGTTAAATTTATTGCGTCGGACATGATTTATCGGTGTTGTTGTATTCTCATGTGTGGGATGTCCTGTTCAATGAAGCAAATTGCGTCGACTAGTGCAACGCACTTGGCTATGACCAGAATCCATGGCCCGAATCCATGGCACACAGTCTTTGTTATTGTACTGCTTTTTTGTGATAACATGGAATGTTGACCAAGCCGAAGGCTGGATACCCGAATGTTCTTCCAAATCTGTCTTTAATTTTTTAATTGTGGTTAATGTGTTCTGGTGGTTCCTATGTTTTCCATCATAGCATCATTTGCTGTTTATGAACATGGCCACCAGAATCCAATGATTTGCCACGTTGATAGGGAATAATAATGTATCTAGATCTAATATTGGTATTTTCACTCATCTGTTGATTCCATTTATTTCCTCAGTGTCCTATTTTTCGAAAAAATCCACACTAAAGAAGTGAGATGACGGATTTTCGTTTGTCAATATGGTGAGGTACCCTTCAACAATTATGGATGAATTGTATCAATGCCTAAAGAAGTGATTTGAGTATCCCGCCATAGATTTTTGTTTGTTGTATGTTCTGTAAATTGTCTCAGTTGAGATTGGGGCTTGTTTTTATTTTCTGGTGGTCCATGTCTCTCTTATTGATTTGGATATCGATATTTGGAGTAGGGGGATGTATTTTGATATACTTTGTGAACAATGTTTTAAGATATTAAGATAATGTTAGGTAGCTGTTGCGTTTAGGAGTAGGTTTTATAAAGTCTTATCAAATTGCGACTTGTTACTGGCCCATCTGGTAGTAATAGTATTTCGATTATATGGGTTGTCATATGTCAGGGGTTAGGGTAGATCAGTTGCATGTTGTTTTCGTATGTTAGGCTTCTATCGAAATGGTCTTTATTTGTGTTGTTATATTGTGTTTTTTTTTTTTTAATGTGTTCTAATGAGCCGTCTTTGTGTAAGCTAAGAACATCAATGTTATTACTATCATTTAAATTATTAGAACATTCTATAAGTTGGTAATTTACAACATTTTCATCCTTGAAAATGACGTCTCTACTAAGTGACACCTCGTTATTTTCTTTATACCAAATACGATACCCATTTGAAGTTTCTGAATATCCATCAAAGTATCCTTTTCGACTTTTTGCATCCCACTTCCTTCGTCGTTGTTTTGGAACTAAACTATATGCATTTATTCCAAATTCTACGATATTTTCTATTTTAGGAAGTTTATCAAACCATAACTCGTATGGATTTTTACATACTTTCCCTGAATTACCAGTATAATTTAATGAGAACACTACAACTGTATTGCGATCTAGGACAAATCGCCGTCGCCGTTTCGTCGTTGCCATTTCGCCGTGGCCACTTTGCCGTAAAATCATTTCGCCGTCGCTGTTTCGACGTGAGGCCACTTCGGCGTTAAAAAAATTTGGAGTATTTTACTTATTATTATTTATTATACACATTTTCACATTATACACATTTCAATATTCAATAATAATAAAAAATATTTTTATTTTTCGTCAATAATATTTAATGATAATAATCTTTTATCGACTTCTAAGTGCCGTATTACAATAGTTATATACATAATCGAAGTGTAATCGACTATTGTAATATGGGCCCTAAATAGTTTATCATGTTCCGATATCTGAAGGTTTAGATGTGCTGCAGAGTTTGTGTGTATGAGGTTTATCATAGCTTATAATCGCGTCCAGCGATAAACGAAAATAGGTAGAATTAAGATAGTAATAAAATAACATCCAACAGATATTTAGCTCCCTCTGCACCTAAAGATTTAATTTCTCTAATAATTCCAGAAGCATACACAATTTATTCACCATCTGAAGGTGAATAAGAAATTTTTACTCGATGATAGTTAGCCAGGTCTAGATAGAATTTTAATTGTTGGTAGATTAAGCAGTTTAGATATTTTAGAACGATCAAAAATATAGTTTTGTGACGGAACATTTAAGATTGCACCTCCTCTTTTTGCTCAAGTTTACGTAATACTGGCTAAAGATATTGGAGGCGTACATCCTCTTATCTGTGTACTTTTACCAAATAAACAAGCTAAAACATACCAGCAACTTTTTCATAGATTAAAACAATTAAAACCCGATTTATGTCCTGATTTTATATCGTGCGATACATACTACGCACATTTGGAAGCGGGAAGAAGTCCACCAAAAAAATTTAAAAAAATATTTAGACGTCGATAAAATATTGATTAAAATTATGAGTACCTACAATAACCTTAGTTTAACATCATTTTTGCGAGGAATTTCTCAGCATATATCTTTGAAATGATCTTTTTATTATAATTAAATATTGACGAATGTTATGCAGGTATCTTATAATGCTTAAAATTATTTTTATTTATGTATTATTATTATTATTATTATTATTATTAAATATTATTGACGAAACATTTATATTGAAAAATGTGTATTTTGTGTAATTTGTTAATTTTTTTTAACGGCGAAGTGGCCTCACGTCGAAACAGCGACGGCGAAATGGTTTTACGGCGAAGTTGCGACGGCGAAATGGCAACGGCGAAACGGCGACGGCGATTTGTCCGTGTTCGACTGTATTGACTGCTTCTGCCCACAGTGATTTTGGAAAATTCTTGGCATATATCATTGTTCTGGCTGCCTCACAAATAGTCCTCATTGAACGTTCAGCTTTTCCATTTTGTTCAGGAGTATAAGGTACACTTGTTTCATGCTTTATACCTGGATGATTTAGAATTGATTGAACTTCGAAATTCTTATACTCTAATCCACAGTCACTTCTAAAAGTTTTAATAACGTATTTTGTTTGAGGTTTAACCATACTTAGAAAACAATCAAGTTTTTCTGTAACCTCAGATTTATGTTTCATAAAATAAAAATAAGTATATTTAGAATAATCATCTTTAAATATAATGAAATATCTTTTACCTCCTAGTGAATTATCTTCCATGGGTACGTCGCTGTGTATTATTTGCCCTGGTTCAGTAGTTATTGTTTCACTCTGAGTGAATGTCTCCTTATGCTGTTTTTCATAGATGGTTCACAGAAAAACTGTCCTTGTATATCTGTAAATTATATTTCATTGTGTTTTAAATACTCACGAACATGTTTGACATTCTGATGACATAGTATTTTGTGCCAGTATTCTAATGTTAATTTCTTAACTGCAACGTTAGCACAGTGTCCAATTTCCTGTGAAATATCTGTTTTGATTAGCATTGTAAACAATTTATTCTCACGAACACCGACTGCAATTACACGATTATTAATTTTAAATGAGCAACTTTTACTGTCTGTCACCATTGTAATTCCTTTATCAAGGTATGCCCCACAAGAAAATAAATTTACCTTTAGATCAGGTACATATAAAACATTTTCTAAGTAACCTTTTATCTTAGCCTTATCATACTTATTGTCAACATAAGTATGAATATTTATGTTACCTTTTCCGACTGCCATAATGTGCTTACCATCTCCAATACGTACAAGCGAATGCACATCAAAATGTTTATAATCGACGAACCACTCTTTTCGATTTGTCATGTGGTCGCTCGCACCTGAGTCTACATACCATTTGTATGAGTCGTTGATTTCTTTATTTTTTCTTTGTACACCAATAAGCGCCAAACCGGATGTTGATTTCTTTTCTTCTTGTTCCTTTTTGAATATCCTGCAGTCCCTTTTCCAATGTCCTGGTTTTTCACAGTGATTGCATTTTCCTGGTTTTGTATCATCATTGTTGTTCATGTATTTTTACTTTTATTATACTTGCCTTTGGTTGCGATCAAAGCACTACTCTCAGCACCATCGTCACGGACCTCCTGTCCTTGCACTTGTCATGTTTCTTCCACCATCAATCAAGTGGTTAACTGTTCTAGCGTTCTATTTGCACTATTCATTGAGTCCCGTGCACTGTAGAAGTGTCTATAGCTATCAGGTAATGTCATAAAATTGTTTGTAATCAACATTGATTCTGAGATAGGTTCTCCCAATTATTTTAGTTGTCTACTTAGATTTTCTAATTTTGAAATATGACCTGCTATATTGTCTTTTGGATCCATTGTATAACGATAGAACTTTTGTTGTACTATTGTTATGCTTGTGTCCGACATCTGTTCGTACACACTAAGTAATTTGTTCCACATACCATTTGCTGGGTCACAGTTCATAATGTATTGTAGAGGTTGTTCATCTAACGATGTGACGATACATTTTTGAGCCTTATTATCTGCCCTTTTCCATATTGAAAAATCAACGCTATGCCTTTTTCTCTCTCCATCTTCAGTTTCATTACCGATTTTTGCTAAAATTGGTTTCTTTGATTTTCCTGTTACTACATCAAATATTTCAGCTGCGTTCATGATAACCTTAATTTGAAATTTCCATATGTCCCAATTTGATGCATCTTTGAGTTTGTTGATTTTATATTGTTCGTTCTCCATATTTAAAAAACGTAAATGTACACTATCTGTGCACTAAGAAACGCACTCACACTGCACTGCACTTACTTCGCGAACTATTATTGATGTACACTGTCTGTACACAAAAACACGCAATTCGTTAATCAATTATTATTTTAATAACTATTCACAACTTTATTATAAAGACCTTACTACTGGGCGCATAACCTTTTGAAGTACACAGATATACAGAAGTTAAGGGTAAATAATAATAAAATCGGATATAAGTATAATGATACGATGTACAACAGTGTTACGAGGCGTAATATAAATCAACGACTAACTATGTAATATGAATACCTGGCTACACTATACAAGACATTTATGCTGTAGTATTATAAAAATGTATAGTCAGCGTCTGCTGAACTACAGTGTGAATATTTTACTTATACACTACATTATATAGGGTGTTTTGTTTATAATTCCAACAGTTTTGTTCTTTCTTTGTTAAGTGTAATAAATTGAGATTATTAATGAGGTTAATATAGCTTATGTTTAAGAGGTTTGCAATGATTTCTATAATCCCCCTTTTTTTTAGATTTTATATTGGTTAAATTGGTATGGGGCATTTTGTTAATATAATGTTGATCTAGTTAATATAATGAATGTTATGTTATAATTACGTTTTTCTAATTAATTGCCTATTTTCTAATGTACCTACCCCTTTTTTTTGAGTATTATATGAATTATAATAATATAATATTATAGAATTGGTTTGTACTAATTATTCCTCGATTATATTGGTGATTAAATTTCTATACCTAGTATATTATATTATATTTTTAAAAAGTAAAATTAAGTCATTTATAGGTTGGAATAGTAGATACTTATATTTTATAAATAATATTTATGATTAAACTGGGGTGTACGGAAAGAACCTCTACGCGGTACACCCTAGGCAACGATTTAGTGATTCTATCACTAAACGGCTAATCTTTCCACCACGGGGCACAGGTCTCATAGACCAAACATGATAAATACCAATTCAAAGTCAACTACAAAAAGGCCCTTTTCAGGGCCAGCCCTGACGATAACCTCGATAAATATCGAGGGTTTGACTAGTGACAAAGAAATACTTCTAGAAAACATATGTAAAGAAACACTATGTGATATTATATGTATCCAGGAAACACATAGAGGCAAAGACCGGAATAAACCAAAAATCCGAGGGATGAAATTGGTAGCTGAAATACCACATGACAAACATGGTAGTGCTATTTTCACTAAACCTTTGTTGGAAATAAAGTCATCAGATGTAATAAATGTTGAAGGAATAGAAATTTTAACGATAGAACTAACTAAGTGCACAGTTACATCAGTATACAAACCACCAAATATTCCATTTACTTTCCATAAGCCTGACAATTTTAACAATTCAAGAATAAAAATAATTATTGGCGATTTCAATAGCCATCACACAGAATGGGGATATGAAAATACAAATGATGATGGAGAACGAGTTGAACAATGGGCAGATGGAAACCAATTATCGATCATACATGACTCCAAGCTGCCTCCATCCTTTAATAGTGCTAGGTGGAAAAGGGGGTATAATCCAGATTTGATCATGGTCAGTGAAAATATAAGACAGCAATGTGTCAAGACAGTAGCAAAACCAATTCCACGCTCCCAACATCGTCCAATTGTTTGTTCAATAAACGCCACCATTAAACCCACTATAGTGCCAATGAAAAGAAGATTTAATTTCAGAAAGGCTAATTGGAACGATTTTAGTACAGATCTGGACTCGAAGATCACAAACCTTGCACCATCCACGGAAAACTACGAGGCTTTTGTGAATATAGTTAAAAGAGTATCGAGAAAACATATTCCAAGGGGCTGCAGAACAGAATATATAACGGGTCTTTCCTCAGAGCTAACAGAACACATGCGTGCATACACAGAAATGTATGAGAAGGACCCTTTTGGATATGAAACCATAAATAAAGGTGAATTTTTGCTAGAAGCAATAGGTACAGAAAGGAGAGCAAATTGGATAAATTTAGTAGAAAGCATTGATATGAAACACAGTAGCCAAAAAGCATGGGGCTTAATGAAGAAACTAAATAACGATCCAAAGCAAAGGAATTCACAGAACTTAACCACACCAGATCAAATCGCACACCAACTTCTCTTAAACGGAAAAGGTCAGAGGGAAACAAACCAAAAGAGAACCCAGAAAAAACACACGACTGAAAATGAAGAATGTGGACATTTTAAAGAGCAATTCAATATAGAAGAATTAAACGAAGCCATTAAGATGCTTAAAAATAGGAAAGCCGCTGGACTGGATGATATATGTGTAGAACAAATTAAAGAATTCGGTCCTAAGACCAAACAATGGATACTAGAGCTATTCAATGAAATCAGATCTACCTACAAACTGCCAAAAATTTGGAGAAAAGCTCACATAATAGCCCTTTTGAAACCAGGTAAAGAACCAACAAGCCCCAAAAATTTCCGGCCGGTATCACTTCTATGTCACTTATATAAAGCCTTCGAAAGAATGGTTCACAACCGTATAGTTAGACATATTGACGAAAAATTGATACAGGAACAAGCAGGATTCAGGAAAGGTAAATCATGCACAGGGCAAATACTAAATATGACCCAGTTTATTGAAAATGGATTTGAAAAGAAAAATATCACTGGAGTAGCCCTTATAGACCTGACAGCAGCCTATGATACGGTAAGCCATAGGATTTTATTAGACAAAGTCTACAAACTAACTAAAGACAAAGGTTTTATGCAGATAATAAAGGCACTACTCCAACATAGAAGATTTTACGTAACTCTAGGAAACAACAAAAGTAGATGGAGAAGACAAAAAAATGGTCTTCCACAAGGCAGTGTGCTGGCCCCAATCCTATTCAATATCTATACGAACGATCAACCGATCACTCCAGGCGCCAGGCACTTTATCTACGCCGATGACACAGCGATAGCAGTTCAAGATAACAACTTTGAAGGAGTAGAATCTAAATTAGAGGCCTCACTTAAAACTATGACAAAATATTACCAAAACATGAAACTGAAACCTAACCCGACGAAAACTCAAATATGTGCGTTCCATCTGAAGAACAAACTAGCGTCTAGAAAGCTGGACATCACCTGGGAAGGAGTTAAGTTAGAACACACAACCCATCCTAAATATTTAGGCGTTACCCTTAATAGATCACTCAATTTTAAAGAACACTGTGTTGCCTTGAAACGGAAAATATGCACTAGAAACACTCTATTGCGAAAATTGGTTAGCTCAAAGTGGGGAGCTCAACCCGAAACAGTTAGAATCTCGGCACTAGCTCTATGTTTCTCGGTGGCTGAATATGCATGCCCGGTGTGGGGAAGATCAACACACACTAAACAAATTGATACTGCTTTAAATGAAACGGTTCGCATTATAACAGGATGCTTAAAGCCAACACCAGTAGACAAATTATACCTTCTAGCAGGAATAGCTCCGCCACATATACGTAGACAAATTGCAAGTGACATAGAACGGACGAAACAGATCACGGATGAAAGGCACCCGATGTATAACACACAAGTGGAAGGATTCCGACTAAAATCAAGAAAGAGCTTTCTAAAATGTACTAAGAAATTAGAAGATGACCCACAGACATCAAGATTAAAGTTATGGGAGGTAGAGAGCAAGCAAAAAGTTGAAGAGAAGTTACCCCCGGGACATAACAATAAATGGATGGTCTGGAGAACACTAAATCACCTACGTACAGGAGTCGGTCGTTCGAGGGAGAACCTAAAAAAATGGGGAATAAGCAACGAGAATGAAGACATGAGCTGTATATGCAGAGAAGTCCAGACAATGTCGCACCTCCTAAACTGCAATGAATGTCCAATCAAATGTAACGTAACAGACTTACAAGACGCAAATAGCAAGGCTATAAAGTTGGCAGAATTTTGGAGCGATAAAATTTAAAAATTTGAAAAAACAACTCATACGTTACCTTTTAGAACCACCCATTGTTACCATTAATATAATTACCATTATTTACTAAGTACATTATTCCATATTATGTTATTTTATTTTATTTTATGTATACCAGTTGATTTTTTGACTAATTGACTAATTGATATTATGTTTTGTTATTTATAGTTTAAATGTAAGGATGTTTACCTATATATTTAATTACCTGTAAAATGACCTGTCATAACCCCGACTCGTAAAAAAAAAAAAAAAAATGATTAAACTCTTCTAGTAGAGTGATTTCTTGTTTCCCCTTTATTTTATTTTTGTATATGTTATATATGTGAAGTTAACTTATGATA